TTGGACCCTAGGTTTCCAAACTTATTTTGCCTACCACCCACCTGTTAGAAAATCATTACTCAGCGGCCACCCCTCCCATTCAAAATGTATGTACTGTATGTAGCTCATAACCCAGGGTCAAGTGTGGTGTCTGCTTTTGCAGCCCCCTGGGATTGGTCAGCGCCCCCCGCCCCCACAGGGGTGGAATCCCCCGCTGCGGGAAACAGCGTCAGAGGCTCCGGGAGGGACTATGGCCTCCCGCCATTTGGGTGAACTGTGAAAGCGGCCTTGGAGATTCTGTAATTACGAGAAAATGTCGCAAGAAGATGGTGGCATTTTGACTTCTCCAATGGAAGGCTCTTGGGCCCTGGGGCAGCTTTGGCACCCTTTTTGTTGGGACCCCGAGCCCCTGCTGACTTTGGTCCCCGGCTGCAGCACGGTCACATGACTCCTTTCTGAGACTGAAGCTCTCCTCCACTCCCAGGTGAGGCATCCGGGGGAAATCCGGTCTGTTTTCACTCTGCCCTGCAGCACAGCGTGCACTGTGGCTGCTAAGAGACTTCAAGGACCCTTCCCCCCATTTATCCCAGTATGTCCCCTGCTAAACTAGGTTGACGGCGTCTAATTAACCCGGGAACACTGTCATGCGGCATAAAGATAGCATCCTAGCCTTGGCACTCTGTCTCCATTTAGATCTCAGCAGTCTTCCATTGAACCGAGAGGAACATTGTAACTGAGACGATGGCTACATCAGGGCTGCCTTGGGCCCGGAGCCCGGACTCCAGTCAGCAGCAGTGAGACTGCCTGATGGTGAAGCAAACCCAGGTGCAGGGCTGTCTCTCCCCTCCAGGCCTGCGTTGAGGTCGTTACTACCTTGCTAGCCCCACTCACACCGTTACGTTTTGCGTCAGCTCTTGATCACTGCCCAGCTCCGGGGCCCTTAGACAGCAAGAGAGAAAGACGAGAAATGTGAGAGAGAGAGAGAGAGAGAGAGAAGGAGAGAGAAGGTTGAAGGTTGGGGGAGGGTGGGCGGCTTCACAGGGAAGCCATAAGGTGCAAATGACACTTGGGGGATCAGGAGATTCGGCATGTGCAGCTGCAGACATGGATGCCCCAGTAGGGAGGAGCTTGCCGGCCACTGCCCTATTGTGCCCACTCCATGTCAGGGCAGCCTCAATGCCAGCGGGAAGGGAGCGGTGGTGAGCGAGACAAGCTCACCTGTGTGTCAAAATGTCAGCTGCCGTGTTGTAAGTAAAAGATACATACTTAATCACACACAACTATTAAGCCAACATTACCGTGGCATGGTCAGGCCTAACCCGATGTCAGCACCATTACGAGCAAGCGGAGACTCCTCGCCGTGGTACCAGGTCCCGGTCTCGTTGGAAGCAGGGTCACCATGTAGCCTGAGCATTGCAGACTCCCCGAGGGCTTCTGAGCTGAACTTGAGCCCAACAGCCAGGGTTTGGGTTCCGGCCCCATCGGGTCTCACTCAGTGTCCTTGAGACAAAGTCTTCCCCTCTCTGAGCCCCAGCTTCCACCTCTATAGACGGAACATGTTAACTGAGGTAAAATGATAATTAAACAAGAAAAGCTGCTGTGTTCACATGTGAAGATGATGCTGTAGGAATCACATCTAAATAAGATTAGATACTTCACAGTGCCACCCAACAAGCTCAGTGAACGCTAGCCATTATTATCATCCGTCCCCTGACCGTGACAGCTCTGTGGGAGTGCGGGCAGCATGAAGGAAGGGGGTTCCCCTGAGAAAGGACGGGGGATGCATCGCCCCACGGAGGAGACGCTGGGCTCAAGTGGTACCAACACTTCTGTGGGAGCCAGGAGGGACGGGGTAAGCGTGAGCTGCCCACCGGAGCCCGAACCCGAGGGTCACAGGGCCCTTAACTCAAGAAAGTCCTTGGTCTGGGAACTCGCCGCCCGAAGAAAGCGGCTTCGTGGCTGAAATGTTCTTAGCAATTTGGAAAGAGCCTTGCAGAGGTGACCCTGATGTCCCCTCTGGCCAAGTCCCTGACCAGGGCAGGCCCATCCCTTGTTGGAAGGAAGCCAACATGTCCTTATCCTGTCCTCCTGTCCCCCGAAGGTGAGAGGTGAGGGAGGGGATTTACTCTGTCCGGAGTCAAAGCTTCATTCTGCAAAGCGGCTAGAGCAGTCAGCCAGTGATGGAGTAGCTCTTAAAGAGAAACCTGGCATTTAATTAACTCTTCAAAGTGCTGGTTCAGCAACCTCTGTGTTTTACACTTTGAATATTGAACGAGCATCTCTAATCGGAGCTGAATTACTCGGGGCCTGCCCAGGTGGAGAGCAAGAGATCTTAAGGCCATCCCTCACCTGCTGGGGTTTTGTTTTTAAACTGACACCATGAAGTCCTGTCTTGATTCCAGGATTTCCAACTCAGGGTCACTCGGGCATGGAGGCTTGTGGACCACCGGGGGCCTTGCTTTTCTTCGTCTCCTCGGTCTCTGGATCAGCTCCGAGTTCATGAACACTTTTCTTAGAAGAAAGTAGGCATCTAAGCGGAATAAAACCCACCCGCTCATAACGACCCTGTGAGCTGGGACTTCCTGAGGACTTCTGAGACTGTGACTCTTTACCGGAGCAGACAGCCTCATCTGTCTCCCACCGAGCTGCAGGTGGGCTTGAACTATTGGCCTTGCGGTTAGCTACCTGGCGCTTCACCCTCGGTGCCACCAGTAAAGTTAAGGGAAATCGGTTTCCGTTTTGGTACGTCGCAACTGGGGTTCTCCGCCTAATACTCAAGATAAGTGATTCTCATACAGCTCCGGGTCCCATTTCCGGAAATTACTGACTCATGGGCGGTGGGATGGGGCCCAGGCACTGCACATGGGAAAGCCTCCCAGGTGTGAAGGGTTTTCCCCATCGGTTTAAAGGGCTCTCTCCAGCTCCCTCCCTGTGCTGCCTGGTGCTTGCCTTCCCTGTAGAAAAGCAGGGGGTGCTGTGTACACAGCACCTCTGAGAGCCGTCTGGGTGCCCTAGGGACCCTGGGAAATCAGCCAGGACCCCATCTGGGTGGCAGGTGCGGTGGTTTTAGATAGCCAAGCCTTGTGCACTCTATGCTTGGCGTCGCCACTCACCAGCTTTGTGGTCTGGCTGAAGGGTCCTCCGCAGAACCCCTCCCCATCCAGACAATGGTAACCCTGGACATGACGTGGGCCGTCTCAGGGGTATCAAGGGTTCTCTCTGAGTAAGGCTGTCAGACTAAGCAGAATCGGTCGTATACCAGTGAGGGCCTCAGATCACCGCTCTGAGTGCAGAGGCATGTGGGGCCCTGGGGTGGTGCTGACCACAGCTCAGTGGACAACCTACCATAGGGCTGGGCCAGGTCGCATGGCCTGCAGCAACCTCAGTGCCCCATAACTTAGGAGAGAATTATGTCTTGAAGAGAGAGATGTCCCACATCCCAAAATTCAGCCTTGGCCCCTCACAGTCTGTGCAGACAGGACCTCTGCCCCTAGTCCTCAGGGCTGTCACAGACGCCGGTGTTTAGGCTGTGAGCCCCTCCCTTCCTCCCCACTCCCTTCCCCCCACTCCTGCTTAGTCTCCATAGTCTGCCCTTTAAGAATCAAGAACTGCAGCTGGGTGGATCACCACAGACTGGTCAGTGGTAGCAAATGGTGACCTCAAGGTTGGGGGTTCATGTCCACCCAGCGGTGTCTCAGAAGAAAGGCCTGGTGATCTGCTTTCAAAAGACCACAGCCACATGGGGTGGCCACCTGTAGAATGGGCTCCACAGCCCTTGGTTGGGGTTTTGTTCTTCAAATGTTACGCAGTCTCTTCTCCCGCCCTCCCTGAATATGCACCACAAAGCAGCAGTGTAGTTGAGGGACTGCGAAGCAGTCTGCCGGAACTTGGCTTTCTTCCCCAGAATGCCCTGGCAGAGAGCAGAGGGCAGTTGGCTCTGATGCCCCTCTTCCCAGCAGGGTGTGTGGGCCAGCCCTGTGGGGCTCCTTCTTGTGGGTCCTGGCTCCTGGCCTCTCTGACTGTGCCACCTCCCTCATTCCTGTTTATCATGGCGATGGGTTTCTGGTGGGAAAGGATTTAAAACTGTGGTGGATGTGGACATAACCCCGTGTACTGCGCAGCATGCAACAATGACCCACATTTTTCAGTCTTATTTACAAGCCTTCAGATCCATTATCACTGGTGATCTGGCTGAGTTAGAATTAGCTGGGCGGACGTTTTAAATGCCCTGCCCTACCTGCTCAGACCAGCTGCCTCGGAACTCACTCTCTGCCCGACCCCACCCTACTCCCATCCCCCAGGTGGTGATGTGTGCTGGCTTGGGCCCCACCGCTGCCACCTTCCCTGCGCATCCGTGGACAAAGCCAGGCTGCACCCTCATGGCCTGTGTTCCGGGAAATGCCCGTGCAGCCCTGCTGGCAGGGCCTTCTGGTCCTTCAGGCAAGGGTGCAGACCCTAGATGTACTTGAGCCTGCAACCAGAGCTGCTTGTCCAGCTGACCCCTGTCTGCCCTCTGCAAAGGCCCACCTGCCAACATCTACTGGCACCAACCAGGACCCGGGGCCTCCGTCCTCGGAAAGCCTACTGCAATAGCGTCAACCCCACCTCACAGTGACCCTCAGGGTTTCGGAGACCGTCGGTTCCTATGGTAGCCGATAACCTCATGTTCCTCCCAGGGAGCGGCATGTGGGTTTGAGCAGCCGGTGGTTGTCAGCCCAGTGCGTATCCCACAGATTCGGAAAGTGCTCTCTAAAGCGGTCAGCTCATCGGTGACAGAGAGGACATGGCGTCATCTGTAGTCACTTGAGTTTTGACCTTCTTACACAACCTGCAGGTTGACACCAGGATTTCATTTGGAGCGGCAGTGAGATGAGCCTAAAGCCAGGCACTCCGGTGTCTCATGCTGGGGACGGGCAATGCTCTCAATGCTGTTCCCGCAAGGGGGCCACTCATTGGCCCTCCAACACTCCCAGCCAGTGCCCGAGCCGACTCGGCTCTAAGCCTCGCCTTTTCTCTTTCAGGTTTGGAAAGAAGGCCTCAGAAGAGGAAGAGTAAGTTCCCAGCAGTCTTGCGCTTCCCTGCACTGACCCTGCTCAACTGCGCGCTTGTGGTGGTCCTGATGTGTTTGGCATGTGGGGAAAGCTGGCCTCGCTGGGTGGCCGCTGCATCCAGGGCTAGGCTAATAAGGCTCCCTTCCTCAGCGAGCAGGCGAGGCTCTGGCATTGATGCCCGTGCCCATGCTGGCATGTTGTGTTGAAGGAGGATTTTGAGGAGGGGCCTGGAGCCAATTCATACATTCCAGGTGCTTTATTGGCCTGATTTCCCACCCTGTGCTTTTTAGATGTGTGTCCAGGAATCCGGGCCCATGGGCTTCGCTTTACAGCTGTCTTAGCTTTGCAAGCCGAGCCTTTGGCTTACATCCACCAGGAATGATGAAGAGTTGTAGACAGGAGTGCAGTGTCCAGGCAGGGCCTAAGAAAGTATGGCCAGATGCTGAAGTACAGGTGCCTGGGGACATGTCCAGCTAGGAGAGAGACCAGGGGCTATCAACATTGTTTTTGACTGTTCATTTCTGTGTGTTTTGAACTCATGGCCTGATTTTAGTTTCTTCTTCTTGCGAGCAGCTACCGCCTCAGACAGCAGAGCCTGGATGGATCAGATGAAGGAGGAGGTAAGAGAGGCGCCCCAGCCCCCATGTCGCCGGGGCCTCAGGCACGTTGTTTACAGTGGCCGCATCACGGCACTCTGTCACAGCTCCAGGCCTCACTGTTGCCTCTGCCTAACCCCCAGCCTTACCCCCAGCACTATCCCTACCGTTATCCAGATAACCTGCTCATCCTTCAAGCCTCAGAAACGTCTCTCCCGCCCCGCACTCCCTGCCATACTCCGACGGCCTTCCTCTGTGTCCCGCAGCCCCTGAGCAAAGCTTCGTGCTGGTATTTACTGAGCATTCCTGCGTGCTAGGCGCTGTTCTGCCCTTGACATAGCTGGTGCGCACAGTGCCACCCCCCGGCACACACACCCGAGTGAAGAGCACCAGGGTGTGGATGCGGTGAGGAGGCATCACTCCGTACTGCTCCGCGGCTCGATGGCTTTCCACACCAACTCTACGCTCATGTCCTCTTCATTTGTGCGTCCCCAGACCCGAACCTGCCCCCAAACACCAAGCCCACTGCTGTGGAGTTGAGGCTGGCCCTTCTCGACCTTACAGGTCAAGGCAGAACTGCCCCATTGGGTTTCCAGGGCTGTCGTCTCTACAGAAGCCCGGTCTTTGTCCGGGCCGGTGGGTTCGTTCAAAAGGCCGACCTTTTGGGTGGCAGCCTCGTGCTTTAACCACTGGGCCACCGGGCTCCGAAATGGGCAGGTAACGGAAGGTCAGAGCCACGCTCACCAGGCCAGCAGCTGTGGCAAAGCCCTAGTTCAACACTTAGCATGGCACCTGCTTCCGTGACCCACACGTCCGCCCTCCCGTTCCGGGCTCCTTGTTCCTTTGTGCAGACCTGCACTGGCGGTCCGGATCTTGCTCCCCTTTAAAGGTGAATAACACTTGCCTGGGTGGAGAGTGACTTTGTTGGGTCCACAGCATAACCTGGAGAATTCTTCGTAAGCTTTTGTCGGAGGGGCACGCCATGGCCCCTAACAGCAGCAGCAGCAGCAACAGCAACAGCAGAGGGTTAGTGTCGGCCTAGTTCTGCAGGGTCTCCACCAAGCCCATGCAGCTAAATAAGATACCCATGCTCTAAACCTCTTCCAGTCCCTGTGCCAATGCACCCTGCCGTAGACGCAATTCTGACTCACAGCGACCCTATAGGGCAGGGCGGGTCCTGTCCGACCTCGTGGATTTCTGAGGCTGTTACTCTTCACAAACGAAAAAGCCTCATCTTTCTCCTGCTGGGTTCAGACTGCTGACCTTTAGGTTAACAAGCCCACACATAATCTACTCTGCCACCAGGGCTCTGTTAAGTGCTGGAGATGGGCCTTCCTGGTAGTGTTTGCCCCAGCGTGTGGCCCTTCCCTCCCACATCCATGACTTTATCCTCCGACTGGATTTCTGGAGCTCTTTGTCTGCATAGCTGCCCTCTGTCACACTCTGCTTCTCCAAGCCCTCTTCCTTGCTGTCTCGGACCTTTCTGCCGTGTTTGGGGGTCCGCCCCAGCAACCCAGAAGATCCTTGAGGCAAAAAGCAGGGCAGGCGGAGGGCTCACTGCCCTCATAGGTCACAGTCCAATGTCAGAAAACCAGTGTTTCATGCACTTTTCTAAGTTTTCCAGTTACTTAAAGCCAAGGGCAAGTGAAGTGCCAGCTACTATGCCACGGCTGGAAGCAGATCCCGCCTCCTTCTCTTAACCCCTTTGTATGTGACAACAAAGGACATCGGGCTGCTCACTGCAGGTTTGGGGGTTCAAACCTTCTAGCTGCTCCCAGGAAGAAAGACGGGGCTGTCTGCCATAAAGGGTTGCTATGAGTCGGAACTGACTCGACAGAGTGGGCTTGGGACATCTCATCCCAAAGGGGTTTCAAGGTAAAAGGTAGAGTCAGCTGAGGTCAGGAATCTAGTCCACACCCTGAGATTTAGTAAGAGCCCCAGTTGTTTGCCTATTTGTTCAGAGCATCAAGAGACTTGTGCTGTAAGTGTGGAAACATTAAATTTGGGAAAGACTTTAAAGTCAAGACACATCCAAATGGAAACACAGAAAGCAATGATGTGCAAGATCTCAAGAAGGCCTTTCCAGGCTTCTCCTCCTCTTACCAAGCCCCTTCAAAGACCTTCTGAGGTCTCTCTCTCTCTCTCTCTCTCTCCCCCGCCCCCTTTCCTTTCCTCCCCTCCCTTCTCCTCTTTTCTCTCCCCTTTCCCCCTCCCTCCCATCAAGGTGATTCTGACTCATTGTGACCCAATAGGATAGGGTACTTGTGGGTTTCTACAGGAGTAGAAAGCCTTGTCTTAGTCCCTCAGAGCAGCTGGTAGATTTGAACTGCTGACCTTGTGGTTGGCAGCCCAACTTGTTATGCCACCAGGGCTTTCCCTGAGGCCCTACAGACACCATATTTGTCTTTGTGTCAAGCGGTACATTTCCAGAAGTAACCGTGACGCACTGGAGCAGAATCTTTCAAGTACTCCCGCCGGTGCTGGCTGCCCCTCGGCCGCATCCTCGCCTCAGGGGCAGACTCCTGCAACCTCAGGAGCGTCAGCTGTTCAGTTGAAACTGAAGAAATTGAGGCTCTGAGATGGATACACAAATAACGGAATTCAGAAAGCCTGCCCTGCTGGACCACTACTCCCACGCCACGATGGCCATCACCCTCATCGCCAGCCCACTACTCACTGCCAGACACTGACCAGGAGCCTGCAGCCACGCCTGCCATTTGGCAGAGCTTCACCTCGAATCCTCAGCCTGGTCCTCAGAGACATATTAAAATAAATTCCGGTGAGATATGATTTACATAAAAGCAGCTACGTCCACTTGTACATAATTTTTGAGTTTTGATCAATACAAGGAGGCTTCAAAAATTCAGAGAGAGATGAGGTGAAAGATGGCGGGATTTTTCCATGTGCTCTTTGAAGGCCCGGGTCTGTGCCCCATGGGGCCCAGACCACAGTGGAGACAAACATCTCCATCACTCCCGAGCGGTCCACTCCCCTCTGCCCCAGGTCACTGCTCCGCCACTCTGTCAGTGCACACAGGTTGTGTTCTCTAGAATTGTACGTAAACAGGGTGATGTCTGTGTACGAGTGGGCATCTTTTTCATTCACTGGAATGATTCTGAAGTTCATCGGTTGTTAACAGGTCACGACCTGGCTCTCTTTGTTGATGAGTGGTGTTCTGCTGCATGCCTACACCACATTGTGGGCTTCCATTCACCTATCGGTTTGGAGATGAGATGATGAAGGCCAAGAAGGGTCATCTTGCCCAAGGTCACACAAGTAGTAAGCGGCTGTGTCAGGATTGGATTACAGACCCTAACTCCAGAGCTCCTGCCCCTGGTCTCGGGGCTTGCAGGAATGGCACGGGCCTCAGATCTGTTAATGCCTCCCTCGACAAGTAGGTTGAATTACTCTCTGTTCCTGGATCTATGATATAGATGTCTAGCATAATGACTGGGGTGCTTAGTAAAATTTTAGCAAGAATGGAATAAGGAGAACTATTTTCAGAGAATAGAAATATGTGATTTGGCCTTTATTTTGGTTCCAGAGGTTTAAGGCATAGAACCTTTCTTGTCAGAGGGTGGGCTGGGTCTTCCCTTTGAGAAGGGACGCCTCTTCCCCAGCATAAATCTGTTTCCCACACAGCGATGTCTGGGTCCTTTCATGGGAAATCGGCTCATATTTTACACTTCACTCTCGGCCATTTCACTGGATGTGACTGTTTCGAATCTATTAATGCGGGAAGAATCCTCTATTGCATACAGCTAGTTTCCAGAAGTATCTTTGCTCAGAGAATTGCTCGGTTGCCTAGTGAAGGCTGCTCCTTTGAGCTTAGGATGACCAGTGGGTGGGAGTCTCCTGAGTGATCCCCCGAGTCATCCTTGTCTACTCATTCAGCAGTGACATTAGACATCTGTGGGCACCTACAAAGACCCCGATGGTGCCCTTAATGAACATCACATCCAGGCTCGGTGAGGTCATCAGCCCCGGGCGCATTAGCTCATGGGGAGGGTTGGTAGTTTCTATATCCTGGGTAGTGGCAGGTCTCTGTTCGTAATCCTGAAGGAGAAGACAAATCTCAGAGAACAGAAATGAAGGGCTTTCTCCAGGTAGGAATTCTCCCACCAGTCTTGGAGGTTCGACTTTATTGAAGAAATCTAGGTGCCATATCAGCAGGTACAGTTGGGTTCATCTCAAAGGTGGGTGGAAGGGATAAGGGTTTTACTGATACAGATTTGCAGGCACAGGTGGAGTAATCTATCCAGAGTGTGCTGCGGGCTGGAGGGGTTCAATGGAATTATGGAACCCTATGCCCTCATCTTCTTCATTACCTGTTCATATGTTCCCATCTTGTGTGTGTATATATCTATATAGTCGTTAGGGGCCATCAAGTCATTTCTGACCCATAGTGACCCTGTGCACAACAGAACGAAGCACTGCCCGGTCCTGCCCCATCCTCACCATTGCTCCTATGCTGAGCCCATGGCTGCAGCCACTGTGTCAGTCCTTCTTGCTGAGGGCTGCCTCCTTGTTTTGGTGCCCCTCCACTTTACCAAGCATGGCGTCCTTCTCCAGGGACTGGTCTTTCCTGGGAACATGTCCACAGCATGTGAAATGAAGTCTCACCCTCCCTGCCTGTCTCTAAGGTGCACACTCTGGCCGTACTTCTACCAGGTTAAGGGTGACGAGACTTTGTGTCATGTACTTTGGACATGTCGTATCAGGAGAAGAAAAGAGAAAGAGCCTCAGCAGGATGGACTGCCGTGGTGACTGCCACGGTGGCCCCAAAGAAGAACAGGTGTGAGGATGGGCAGCACTGGGCAGCGTGTCCTTCTGTTGGACAGAGGGCCACGTGAGTTGGACTGGACTCTGGCCCCTAACAACAACATATCTCCAGCTCGAGTTTCGAGGGTCCCCTTCTTCCCGCTCAGTGCCCTCACTGATCATCAGACCTCAGTCCAGGTTGGGCATTCAGTTGCCGTTGTAATTCAGCCACTCTTGTATGAATCTGGGTTTGGTTTGGGGCA